TGAACCTCGAAGAAGGCCAATTCGGTCAGAGAATTATTTATTAAGAAGTCGCAGAATATCGGAAATTAATCAAAATGCCGACATCGCAAGACAAACCGACTTCGATCCGACAGATGTGACACTCGTCACACAGATAGAGGCGCGCCCATGCTAATCATTGCCTACAAGGTTCTTCTACGTCATCGCCGCCCCTAAGATGTCAAATCTTCATTAAAACGGGAATGATTTGTCTAGGGATGTGTGCCAAACATACCTATAAATAGTAGTTCCGAAAACGAGAGAAGGGTTCGAAAAACGATCATATACGCTCATATATTCACCTCGGATATCTCATCGTAAACCGACTTGAAATTCATAAAAAACCGACCTCTTTGTATTAAAACCGACTTCGAAATATTCAATAAAAATCTCATTTTTTGCAATCTTTTGCGTTAATATTACATTGTGAACGTTGATCAAATCCGTTTATCAACACACAATATTTTGTGTAGGTGTGCACTTTAAAAAATAATGTCATATGTGTACAAAATTATTATAAAAAAATTGATAAATATGTAATTTGTTTTATAAGTGAATTGTGCAATATTATGTATCAATACGCACTTTAAATGTAAAAACAATTAATCAAAATAAAATTTAAAATTTTGAATTTAAAATTTCAAAATAATTGGTTTAATCAAAATGAAATTTAAAATTTTGAATTTAAAATTTTTAAATAATTGGTTTAATTTATCGGTTAACATAAATAATCAAAATAATCGACATAAATTACATTATTTATTATAAAATACGTGAATAATATTTAATATTTTTTACTTAATATTTTATTTTATTTCTTGATTAAACATATTAGTATACATGTAAACGAAATACAGTGTGCAATGTAATAATTATCGATGGGACTCAACTCAACTTTGTCGACCAATTATCGATATAATTTGTTATTTATATTAAAATTATATTTAACATGGTAATAATTTTATTTATTATTTTTATATTATTTTTGGTTGGAAAGAAAAACAAAAATTGAGTTCGGTTGGTTCCATTCACTATTTGGGCGATCTTATAGTCGTGATAAAGTGTAGTGTGTTATTTTTATAAAGTGCAACATATTGATGTATATAATGCAACATATTGATTGATGTATAAAGTGCACTACTGTAATTTCAGTATGTTATCATGCTAATGTGCACTCGCAATACATAAAAATATAAATAAAAAATAGTATCATTTGTAAAAAAAAATATTAAAAAAAGAAATTAACAATATTTTTTTATATAGTTCAACATGTTCGGCTATTTTTTTTATTTAAAAAAAAAACTATATCTGTCATTAACCAACTAATATTATTCGATCTATTATTAGAATTACTATAATTTACGTGCAACGTGTTGTGTTATAAAACGCGATGTGTTGTTATATAAAGTGCAATGAATTGACATATAAACTGTAATACTTAAATTATGGTATGTTAACATGATTGTGTTATTTTTGTGGATATATGATGCGATGTATAGTAAAGTATTATGTCGATCCATTTTTTTTACATTTATATTGCGTAATATTTTGGCGGGAGATGTTGACATTAATTGTGGAGTGTGACGATAAAGTGCAACATGTTGTTTTATAAAGTGTGACCTATTGTTATATAAAGTGCAATATTTCGCTATATTAAGTGCACTAATTTATACTTTTCCATTTGTATCCGAAAACTAGTTTTACTTTTAATAGATATAATTTTACATCTAATTAACCTAATTAATTAAAATATATTTTTATGTATTACTTTTATTATATAAATTATTTATTATTATTATAAATCATTTTGATACCTTATATTATTTTTATAAACTGCAACATGTTGATGTATAGAGTGTACTACTGTAGTTTTGTGTTTTGTATGGATAACTGATGTGATGGATGTTAAAGTATTACGTACATCCGTTTTTTAGATTTATGTTGTGTAGTATTTTTGGTAGGAGACGTTAACAGTGGATTTTGGTGATAAAGTGCAACGCGTTGTTTTATAAAGTGCAACGTATTGTTTATAAAGTGCAATATTTTGATATATAAAATGCACTACTTTATATGATCACGTATAAATTGACATAATTGGGATATTTGATTTGTTACACAAAGGAACATAAATAATTGAAATAATTTATTACTTATATTATAGAAATATATTTATTATCTATTTTAATATTTTATATTAATTTGGAAATTATATAATATATGTATGCATAAAAAATATGTAAAATAATATATTTTTATATATTTTTAAATATTGCAGATTTTACCCATAGATCAAATTGAATATAATCAAAGTTTTTGATATTGCAATTCAGTCCATGCAAATAATCAAATTCTCATAAATCAAACAACTCAATTTTTGCCCCAATCTCGCCGGCTCAAGCCCTTGTCTCCTGCGACCTCTCGCCGTCCGACTCAGATGGTCTGGTCATCTGCTCCTCCCGAAGACGACGTGCCTCTGCTCGTGAAGAAATTAGGAGAGTTTGTGGTGAGGCGGAAGATGAATCTCCGCGAGCCCGACGGCGGACGGCGGGTTGGTGACATCTTGGAGGACTTTTTAAGGCGTATATGGCGTAGGCGAGGTGCTGTCAGATTTTTCGTCTGTACCGCCGTTACTGTGGCCGAGGACCGGGATCCTCTCGACTCTCGAGGTCGGCGGCGGAGATGGGGGAGGAGGAGACGGGAAGAACGAAATCCATCCGATTGATTTTTCGATCAGAGCTGGAAACGGGCGGCGGTCGGAGGAGCTGAGGAGGCGGAGGTCGAGGTCGAGACGGAGGTTGACGGTGCGGCGGTTGAAGACGACGGCAATGGCAGATCTGCTGCCCAGTGTGTGCGTATATGTGAGAGAGAGAGAGAGACATAATTGACGTGAACAACTGTGATAAATTAATTGGACTGGTGATGTGGGACCCATTGTGGTAGATGATGGGTCTCAAAATGTCCATATTATCCTTAATGATGTTATAATTCCAGCTGATTTTTCAACCCTTAGATTGCCCGATCCGATGATTGAGATTTATTCTCATTTCTCGCATTAAGAGTCATTCTCGTGTGAACCCATCCCTATATATATATTTGATTACAAGTTTTTGTTCGATTAACCAAAATTCGGTTTATACTTCATT